AGTATTGAATTAGAATATTTAATACTAATCCTAATTCAATACTAATGGTAAAGTATTAAATTAGTTTTGCAATTCTATTACAAAATTATTAGCATTTTTCTAATACTAAAGTTAAATTGACATTTCAACCAAAGATAAAGTTTATGTGAATTATAATTATAAGTCAGATAAACTCTATATTTTACTATTCTTCCATAGATATAATAAAGTGTTTATCTAAAAATGACAACAATTTAGATAATTTTTATATTTTGCTTTTGTTAGATGAAAGAATTAGTAAAAAGTACGAATTCTCAATCGAGTGAAATCTGATGAAAAAATTGTCATTGAATTTTTTTATCATTGTAATATCAGTAGGGTTTACATAAGACTATAATAATCGCATGAATTCGAGAGTTGTTTAATCAAATCATTAATAAGAACTGTATGATTCGGACAAAATTAAATATATAATTCGCTAACATCAACTTAGAAGTATTTACTGAAATTTTGAATGTTAGATAACAACGAAAGATGAAAATATCCACTTAATTGGTTAAAACCGATTACAACTATTTAATTATGTTCATTGATTTTATTCATGAATATATTATTAATATTAGATTATTCGCCACTTGAATGTCTATGACTAAAACTAAAATAAAATTAAAATCGTGCTATGCTGCTCAATTTTGAACACCATCTATTCTTTACTAGACATCAAAATCAACTGAACTTTTTCAATTCAAATTCGGTCGGGTTTAAATATTGAAACATTATTAGTATATTATCAAAATCAATTAAAAATTGAATCTAATCTTTTATCATTTTAATGTCCTAACACTAATTAATCGCAAGTCGATATTCTTGTCTCAATTCTTTTTCTGCTGAGAAATCTATCAAGATTCTTTTTGGTCTAGAAACTCAGTCAAAAATCTTTCTATTGTTCTATAGAACGATTGAAAGACTCTTATCTGAATTGCAAGACTGACATCTCTTTTTTTCCTTCACTTTATATATATTTCACTTACACTCGTTTTTTCGTGCATTTATACAATGGATGTTAGACTGATAACATGATTGAATATACTATAACTATCATAATATGCGACGTCAATATATGTTGTAAATTAAGGTAAAGTTTATAAATATACAATAAGCGCACTTTGTTAGTTTATTTTATTTCTCACATCAGTAAGAATACTATGGATGCCATGAATGACGTTCATAATTAGCTCTTCATAACTAAATTACATGTCTTTAAAACGGATTAAGAACACCTCAGGAGTAATATATCTGCATTTCTGATGATCAAAGAGATTATATAATATTGAATAAATTACAAACATAGATTGTGATAGCGAGACATCTATTGGACTTTTCCAATTCAATACAGACATTATATTATCGTCTATTTTTTATTGTGGCTTACAATGGTAAATTATATTGCGTACAAATTTTTGCACATAACACGTCTGTGTTAGGACTTCGAATCATTTTTGCAATATAATAGAGAGAAGTTTATTTTTTTCTTTACTTTTATTTAGAAAATTCTTTCTGAATTTTTAAATGAGAGAAGAAACTGGAGAAGATGTTGTTCAATTTTTTTTCATGATGCTCTAAAGCATTTGCATAAGGCTACTTTTGTTTTAAGATATCCTTTTCGATTATTTATATTATTCATTTTTTTATTTAGTGCCATCCTCACGCAAAATCAGACAACGACGATGGCGTGTAAGTCGAAAAAATAAACCTTATTCACCATCTTCATAAGTAGTTGTCCACTCTAATGAATAAACCGCATGTAATTTTAAAAAACTTTACTGTTTGGTTCTTACAATGTTTTCTTTCTTTCCAGGAAGATACGATTATAGATTCATCACTTGTTGATGATGAATTCATAAATGATAAATCAAATGGTAAAAAATCCAGTCTGACAATTGATAGTGTATAAATAAATATTTCTTCGTTTTTTTTTTCACGCGGATTCATATTGTACCTCTGCTGATTTCCTAGGATTTTTCTTGATTGGTAGCATTTTAGTGATAACCTGCAGATTTTCATCGTCCGGAAAAAGCCGGCTTGTGGAAAGGGAATCGTAAAAAAAAAATTTTTCGTTTAGAACCTATTATTTCTCAAGAAATAGATGAACCATTATGTTCCGGTGCATCATTTGCATCTAAACAATTTCATAAAATATTCTTGAAGTCAGAAATATTGTTAAATTAAGTAATGAACATATGAATAAATTATCGGAACTAATTCCTGAAGGTTTACCATCTGGTCATAAACTAGTTAAGTCATACACAAATTTACATGAAATTTTTCAAGAATAATCTTCATTTGAAGAAATAACAAGATGTATACAATGTTTAAAAATTATCGACGAAACAAATTTATGCTCAACATTTTGTTCACAAAATGGCGTTCAGCGTCATGTAGAGAATGTGATTGAGCATATGTATTTATGAATAGCTCAAATCAACAATTGATTCATATTATTCATCAAAATAAATAACTTGTAATAAATTATCCACAAGTTTCTAATCAATTATTACCTTGTGATATAAATTTAAGAAGGGTATCGGTTTATGGGGTGTGGATGTAGATAGGGATATCCACTTAAAATACATCCACACCCACACACCCTATTAGACATGTACCGATATAATTTTTGTTGGATGACTTTTATAGAGAAGCTTTACAAGATTTAAAAGTAAAACGAGCTATATTTTAATTATGGTGAAAAAATATAAAGTAAGCCTCTAATTACGAAATAGGAGCTTGTATATTTCTAACAGATGAACACTTCGGCACTTATGAGTGCTATAAAAATTGATATTGTGCTCTTTCAGACTAAGTTTTATTATTGAATCCGATATGCATTCACGTAATTTGAACCAAGTACATTCACCTTTGTTAGATATCTTATTTTTCAGACAGTGATCTGCTCATATAGGTGTAGGTGTGGGTTTAGCTCTTCGTGTCATTTACATCCACACCACACACCCACATCATATTCATATAAAAACAAGATAGTCGTCAATGAAAACAGGGATTCTTTGTGACTGAATATCATCATTTAATTGAGTGAAAGTCTTTCATTATCATTTAGCAGTAGATTGAGATTTGGTTTTTCTATTTGCTAGATGTACTTATAATTTGACAAGAAGTGTTGAATCTCTTTGAAATCAAAAGAGTTCGTATTGAATGATGATGAATTAGAATGAATATCACCCACATAAGTTTTCATGAAATCGATCGAAAACATGAAATTATCACCAACTCATAGAATTACATACATGATAAATGTTCAGAAACATTCATATTGGGATTAAGTAAACAATTCTGACTAATTTTTTATGTAAAATGTCGGCCGAGCAGCAAAAAGCGCGACAATTTGTCTAAATAAATCTATAGTTTTTTTCTTCTAAGTATTATTTTATTAAATCAAAAAGACATGTATTCTTTTTGTTTATGATAAATAAGAATGTGTCAAATTCTCTAAATAAATCAGTTTTAATCGTTATATTGTTTGTTAACGCTTGCAGGTACACGGGTTGATTTAGTTAATTTACCCAAAACCCAATCGACAATCCAGGCAGGTAAAGTAGATAGTGGAAAAAAAATAAGACTTGATTGCCAACCAGGTCGATAACGAATATGAGGAACTGTATTCATAACAGCATGTTGAAGAGCTCGCACAACTTTCATAGGATCTTCGGCATACTTGATAAATGTACTCTTTCCCGCGCCAGCATATTTTGCTTTAAGTAAATCTTCTCCCCATCGTTCTTGAACATCACTTGAAAGCTTATTCCAAAATTCTGAAAATGATTTAGGACCTCCGTGAATAATAGGTGTTCGCATAAATCCCGGTTCAATAATACTAACACGTAAACCCCATGGAACCATTTCTCGACGTAAACAATCCGAAAATGATTCAAGGGCATATTTGGATGCACAATAAGCAGACATACTTGAGGACGCAAGATAACCAGCTACAGAACAAATATTAACAACACGTGAATCACGTTTAGCAATAAGTAAGGGTAAAAACTTTTTTGTCATTGCAACATGTCCAAAGTAATTGACTTCCATTACTTTACGCATAACTTCCATTGATGTCCAATCAATATATGAACCATCAGCAATACCAGCATTATTAACAAGTGCATGAAGAATTTTTGTTTTTTCGTTCACTAATTCAAATGCAGCATCAATGTCTTCTTGTTTAGTAATATCAAGACGAAAGACAGTAGCTCTTGATGAAAGTTTATTTTTGAGTGAAACGATATTGTCAGGAACGAAAACACCAGCAAGGACACTAAAACCTTGCTTATCAAGTTCAATAGCTAATTCATGACCGAATCCAGTGTCACAACCACTAATAAGAACATATTTACCGTTAGGATTGATGTCTGGTGTTGGAAAAAAATGTTGATAGAAACGATAGCAGATATAAAGAGTGATTATAAAACCAATAAGGAGACACATCTTGATGCTATGCAGATAAATGAAGAGAAAAAAACACAACTAACGTTCTTTTCTATTCTCTTTCTAATCTTATTTTACTACCAGAATAATAACAACGTCAAATTGAGAGCACTGTGTGAAAGAAAGTAAAACACATTTTGTTCGATGAATACTTGTGGTATATCTCTATCCTTTCTTTTTTTCGTATTCTTTTTTCTGATATATATATGCGGGTCACAGAATAAACATTATGTGTCAATATGTATTTTGATCTTTCATCTTTCTTCACAAAGTTCGAAGAGATAAAGAAAAAAGTACTAATGAAAAGAAATGATGACAATAATGTTGGCTGATTTATAATAGTATCAAATACAAATGAATACATCTTATGTATTTGACTTTATTTTATCAAAAATGAAAGCCATGAATTTTTTTAATGAAAAATGCAACATTATACTAATATGTGATTAAGAATAACGTGCACTCATAGGGGTGTGGGTGTGTGTGTTTGCCTATATGTCTACTCTATACTTTGCATGCTCAAAAACCACAAATCTTTTCATTCTCTACATACTATAAAGGTACCTATTTTGTCATATTTTGCATGTTATAAAGGTGCCTATCTGTTAATATCTTGCACACTAAAAAGTGCATATTTTATATATATGTATATTATTTTTTTATATGTACCTATTTTTTCCATCCTCTTCACAATACGACTGACTATCGACAAAACAGATCATGAATCATTATCATTATTGACATACAGTATATACAGAACACATACAAGTCATTGAGAATGAGGTGTGTTTTGAACACCACAAAATAAGACAATTGAGGACCTAATTAGCTATATGTGAAAAGAACACCAAAATTACTTTTAGGTGAAATCAGAACAATAGTGGTAGCTTTACAAAAAAAAGCAGCAACAACAGATAAATAATAAATACAAGAACAAACAATTCATAATAATAAAGCAGATCAAACTTTTTTCTTTGATCTACCTTTTCCTCGTCGTTTATCTACCAGTTCCAAACGCGTTTTATTAATTAATTAAGACTGTTATTCTTGAAATGATCAAGTCCATATAATGGTCTAATTTGAGGCTAGCTATGTCAGAATTTATAGATTTTTTTTTCAATAAGAAACAAAGTAAAAGTAAATAATATAGATAGGAATACAATTTTATAATAATTCTTTATTTCTTATCATATTTAGTCACTTGAAAAAGATAGAATTCGAAAGACCTCACGTCATTAACACTTCTATTTCTACCTATCTTTTTTTCTCATTACTTTCACTCTTCATTATTTTTCTTTTATTATCGCGTATCTTGAGAAAAAAATTAAAAATTATAATAAATAAAATTGTATTACTATTTATATTATTCACGTTTACTTTACTTCTTACTGAAAAAGAAACGATAAAAAGGACAGACTCGTTGGATCGGACGTAGGTTCGAAACTCAGTCTGATCCTAATACGTAAGATCGACATTTTTCTGTCCTCTGATAGCAGCTTGTAGCATATATTGTTACTCGGATTTAATCATTCTTAGAGAAAATTTTATTGAAATAACCTGATCAACAATAAGGCTAGGATTTTCGCTACGCTTAAATATTATATGTGTTGTATATATAGAACTTCGTGTTCTTCATTGAAATCTAAGTCTTGCTTCAAGTCGATCGAGTACAAAGTTGGTTGTTGTTTTTCTTTTGGGTGTGGGTGTGAATGTGGTTGAGTGTGGCCGTCGAATGTCTCTCCAACCACCTACACCCACACTCACACTCTCAGGAAATCTAGATCCATTTGGTAAGCCAATTAGCATTATATCATCTACCGGTTGTACAAGAAAGAGTACAAAAACTTTTAAAAAGTTCTAAATACATCGGCTTACATCTTCGTCTGTCGTCAATGACCAAGATGAATGCAGAGAAAGCTTCTTAGTTTCTAAAATTCTGAATTGTGCTGGGCAAAAAATTTGTAATTGCTGCAATTTTTCAAAAATTGACAAAAAATGTTCTTCAGGATCTTTCATGATCTCGATCTTTTGTATAAGCGCAGACGTGATTTGAAACACACATCAATAAAACGACATATAAATTTTAATGTGCTCTACTCCATAGATTTAGAAAAAAAAAGGTGTGAGAACACGAGTAAAACAAACACCATCGGTGTCGATTACACAAAATTATTACTCGATCGTTTCAGAATAAATGATCATATGAAGGAAATATTCCCTAATTAATCAAACGATTGAAACTAATTAAATCTAATTTACTACAATGTATCGTCATTCGATATTGAATCTAATAAGTATTCCACTACTTGTAAAAAACGATATCAACATCGGATGAATATAAATAGTTCTACTTATTCAATCTGCGTTTATTTTTTTTATTGGTTATCATCAGAATCTATGATTGTTCGTTAGCTAAGTAAAAGTATGCGTGAAACAAGACAATCATACTCATAGTATCTGGTGCTTTAACATTTCCAAATTATTACAGAAGAGTAGCGAAAACAACTATAAAGAATGCCTCAAAAAAATGATAAGTTTGACATTTAAAATTCTACTTTCTCTGTCATACAGAATTAGTTAAAAAAAAAACAACGCCTGCCATCCTCCTTTTCCGCTTTATCTACACTTTTTGTTATAAATACGCCATAGTCTGTCTCTTTCTCTCTTCTATAAACTATGCAGATGCATCTATAATTATGTCTCTCCAAAAAGAAATTACTCTTAAATTAGCGGCGCTAAAAAGGAAGCGTAAGACATGGAAAACTCAAAAGAACGATGATAATCTATGCGAGAATATATTAAGCACAAAATCAACTCATTCTCCTATTTCATAGATATGTCAAAGAGCTTATTTAAATATGATACCATTTTGCAATAGCTTACTTTATCAAGAAGTTATACTAAGATATATTTGAGAGACGAACAAACAGCTAACGAGGGAACCCTACCAACTGATTAAAAGCTTTACGGCTCATATTTACGCCATAAGTAGTGCTTAGTGAGACTAGATGAATCCTAAAAGGATTTCCTTGAATAGGCCTATATGGCTAAAGAGGAAAGGTCCTCAAGTGTGAAATCTACACTGTAAAAAGGTTAAAGATCAAAGGTCATTGAACGAAGTTTATCATGGTCAAGAGAATTCTAAAACCTTCTAAGATATTGTGAAGTCTTTTACAGAGTACGTGAGGGCTGTAGAAGATTTCACAACGTCTTAGAAGGTTTTAGAATTCTCTTGACCATGATAAACTTCGTTTAATGACCTTTGACCTTTAACCTTTTTACAGTGTAGATTTCACACTTGGGGATCTTCCCTCTTTAACTAAATAGGTCCATTCAAGGAAATCCTTTTAGGATTCATTTAGTCACACTAAGCACTACTTATGGAGTAAATATGAGCCTTAAAGCTTTTAATCAGTTGGTGGGGTTCCCTCGTAAGATTAAGTAAATATTGAAAAATAAAATTTTTATCAAGTTTATCTATATAATCATGATCAGATGATAAGTTTTCAATAACATTTGAAATATGTTGATGTACTTCAAATAAAGATATAACATGAACTTGTGCAAGTTGAACAAGTAATCTTACTATAAATGAAAAACGAGCAAATTCTATATTAATTAACATAAAATCTAAAATTTGATATAATTTATTAATAACATCTTGATCTGATATTCGTTTAATATTATCAAAATAGTTCCACATATGAGTATCATAAGAAATTTTCGAGGATTCTAACATATTAACAAGTTCCATAGTGATTATACCAAATTTAATATAAAGATTAATAAATAGTTTACAATCGATTTCATTACCTGAATAAGAGAAACAATGATAGAGTGCATTTTGAAAGTTTTCTTTATCAAAAGAATTTTTCTTAACACCATTTTGAAATACATTAAAATCTTCTTCAATCAATTCCATTTCAATATGAATATAATTAGGTTTAGAAACAGAAAAATAATTATCATTATGTTCGTTGCATAAACAATTATAAAATTCAAGAACGAATTTATTCATTATCTCAGTTGAATACGTACGTATATGTTCAATAACTAATCTTATACTTTTATACTCTAATGAATTCTTGTTATTATATAAAGTTTGTTGTAATAGTATAGAATATTTCTTTTCAGAATTTATATTTAATTTATTTCTAAACCAATTTTGTATTGTATCGGAGGGTGTGGGTGTGGGTGTGGGTACGTGTGGGTGTGGGTGTAAGTGTGTCCTCTTCTCACATCTACAGGCACCCACCCACACCCATACCCACACCCATACCCACACCCACACCCATACCCACACCCATATCCATACCTACACCCACACCCATACACACACCCACACCCACCCAAACGCCCCCACCCCCACCCACACCCACACCCACCCACACCCACCCACCCACACCCACACCCACACCCTATTATTTTCATCGATAACATCATTGATTATTATTTGTTTTCTTTTAATTAAATTTTTCTTCCTATTGCTAACTCAAATGTGGATGAGGAAAAATCATTTTGGTTGTATTATGATTGAATTTTGTTTAAAATTTTTTCTATCTACAAATTCTTGGCTTCATGCATGTGTTGGAATTGAACGTGCAATAATTGTTCAATTTGGTGCACAATTCAACAAGAAACGAAGTATAACAATGGCTAAGCTAATTATTTCATTAATCATTTTTTTAAACATGACATCAATAATTCATGATCCTTTCTATCGTCATTTAATTGAAGATCCTCTTGAACAGCGAGCTTGGTGTGTAATTAGCTATCCATCATCTTTCTTGAAGATTTATGATACAACAACTGCAATGTTTCATTTTCTTATGCCATTTTTAATTAATATTATATCAGCTATTATTATTATTATTAAAACTGCAAGAATGAAATCATTAGTAATGGATACAACAAATTATTATCAACAATTTTATATTCATAAACATTTAATTATAAGTCCAATTATATTAATTTGTTTAGCCGTACCTCGACTAATCATTTCTCTTATTTCAACGTGTATGAAACCAACACGAGAGCCATAATTACTTTTAGCTGGTTATTTTGTATCATTTTTACCATCGACAGTGACGTTTATTATTTTTATCTTACCATCACAAACATATAAACAAGAGTTTTATAGAACAATGAAAGCAATACGTTTATTTTTCAAGTGTTCAGGACAATAAAAACGAAGAAAACAAATCGAAGAATGGACTTGATTACTACCGCAGTCAACACTAACACAAAAACTAAAAATGTATTCTCTTTCTCGTAGAGAAGAGTCTAGCAAGAATAAATTGTTTGCTTGCTTGCTTGCTTGTATGTCCACGCTTCAGTGATTGGTCCAAGAATAAGGTGAAGATAAAAGGATGTATTTTCCATAAAACTTGATCAAAGGATAATCGAGGATAGAGAGTTCAAATCTGAGGTTAGTTTTAATTAATTATTATCTAGCTATTAATTAATTATTAACTACCCATTAATTATTAATGTTTTTCATAAAACTTGAGCAAAGGGTAATCGAGGGTGTGGGTATTCATAAATGAAGATATCCACACCCACACCCACACCCTAGTGATACTAAATTAATTTTAAGAAGAATAAAAAAGTCAAAATTCTTCTTCAAATCAAAAATAAAACAAAGTAATAAATGATCTTGCATATTAGACATTATTGTAGATGGATCACACTGGATGGTGTGCATGTGGGTGTGAATACTATCTCAACTTAAATTGAAGCCAACATTCGCACACTCAAACCCAGAAGAAATCCACATCGATAAATAAAAAACTGTTTAGAAAAAAAACATTCACTGATAATGGAGGTGTGTGCATTATCCGTCGAAAAAGTGGCACATGTTCGAGTCAAATGAAAGCTCTTAACGCCAAACTAAAAATGCTAAAATATTAGCGGCCCTTGGCTTGCCTAGAGGGAGATATTTAACTTTTAAGTGTAGGTATAAAAGTGAATGAGGAAAGGTTTTCTCCACCTTTATAAGGACAAAACATAGTGTTGTTCGGGCCGATTATGGAATTGGAGGAATCCTCTTTCATATGGCTCGAACAACACTATGTTCTGTCCTCATAATAGTAGAGCGAATTTTTCCTGGAGCTCATGGAAACAGCTTTTTTCTATTAATCACTAGAAAAATTTACTCCACTATTATGAGGACAAAACATGGTGTTGTTCGGGCCATATAAAAGAGGGACCCTACAAACCCTATAATCGGTCCGAACAACACTATGTTCTGTCCTTATAATAGGAGAGCGAATTTTTCTTGTAGCTCATGGAAACAGCTTTTTTCTATTAATCGCTAGGAAAATTTACTCCACTATTATAAGGACAGAATATAGTGTTGTTCGGGTCATATGAAAGAGGATTCCTACAAACCCTATAATCGGCCCGAACAACACTATGTTTTGTCCTTATAATAGTGAAGAAAACCTTTCCTCATTCATTTTTATACCTACACTTAAAAGTTAATTATCTCCCTCTAGGCAAGCCAAGGGTCGCTAACATTTTAGCATTGTTAGTTTGGCGTTAAGAGCTTTCATTTGACCCGAACATGTGCCACTTTTTCGACGAACAATACAAACACATCCATTGTGAGATAAGAATTGGCGTATTCAAGGAATACAAGTGTTATATATGTTTGAAATACACAAAGAATACTGATAAGAATAATAGTTACAAGCTACTTGCTTTAGTGATAAGAAGCGTTGTTTTTTTCTGTTTAACTTTTGCTTTTCAAAAGCAGCTCGTTATGTCTACCACAGGATTCATTCTTAGCACAGTTATCACCATTTTTGCGACTATAACAGTCAGTGATTGTACCAGTTGTAATTCATGTCCAGTGGTTGATAACAGGACATTGGGTTCGTTAACAGAAAAAATTGATTGCGTTTTTGACTTCAAAATAAACCTATGACATTATCTTTGTAGGAACTTGTTGCCACAATAACGAACAAGAATGGTGTTGTATTAGTAAGCATATACAATAACAGTTTTTAGTGTGTCTTTCCAACAACAACAGATCTTTTATTCTTTTCTAGTGGATCCCTTCTGTGGGAACTCGTTTCGTACATGCAAATCTGCCAATGACCTATTAAATGGGTTGAACCACATTAACACAGGGTATCAACCAGTATCAAACAACATCTACAAACCATCTTCGTCTTCTAAGGGTTACATCATTGCCGGAGCGGTATTCGTTGGAGCATTTTTAATACTTGGCACAATTGCTGCTTGCATACATGTTAGGTCAACCAATAGCGTCCAGTCACCATTATCATTCAAAAATCCTAATAGTCAACCAATAACTCCACCGTACACGCAATGCTAGTTAAAACGAAGACTCACAGTGAAATATTTTCTAACTAAGGAACTGCTCCCTTTTAACGATATCGCTTCATTCTCTTCTGTGCACCAAATGCGTTTTGATAATAAAGTTCTTGAATTGTGTCTCTCGTTATATCTTAGTACTCATTTTGCATAAGTCACAATCGATTTCATAGAGATCTGCTCAATCGATATTGTTAGATCTGACTCAATTAAGATGTGTCGTCCAGAGAAAAGTTCGAAGAATTTTGATGCCAACCATTTTAAAGACTATTAATCTTTGGATCTCTTGTGAATATTCTACGAAGGGCTCTAATAAAGGCCTTGTGCAGATGACGGACACTTTGTCTCAAATACCTTTTTTGCTAAATTAAGTTCTCTTATTGCCAAATGTACTATTTTCAATATACTAGAACCCAGTTTCCAGACGTAAGCCTTCGTTAAATCACAGAAACGAGCGTGTGAGTGTGTGTGAATGTGGAAAAAGAAAAGATACACACATCTAACCACAGCCACACCCCACACCTCAGACTGAACGATAAGAAAAAGGAATTTTCCAGTAACACGAAGGAAACGATGCGATGACTAAAGTTGATTCATATATCTTCACAATGTTTTATTACAAAGCATTGTGAAGATATATGAACTATTTACTTTTAGACGAAAAAGATAAATAAATAAAGGAGTCTTCCATTTTTACAACATATAGGTAAATGAATCATTGATTCTATAAAATTTCGCCAATAGAATTTTGACAATATTCAAATTACAGTAGAATTTTCACATACGTATGTTGAAATTCTACTGTAGTTTCCATAGCATTATCCGAATTCCACAATTGTCTAAATTCTTACAGAATTACGACAATAATTTTTTGCTGGGCATTTTATTGCCCAATTTTCGTTGGAATTTCGACAATATTTATTCAAAATAATATGTAATGTAACAATAGTGGTACGAAATATTATCCCTTGTGCTTTTTCATGGATACAGTCTTGGAAAAAAATTTTTTACCATTCAATTGAGCATCTCCTCTGTCAATCTATATACTAATAATGTATTTACAAGACATGTGCAAGCCAAATAGCATGGGAAGAAAGAAGGATTTCTATAAAACAGTTCCATATTTTTTTATATTTTTCGAAATAGTGATACAACATATTTGCTCTTATACTTCATTATCGGAGACATTTGAAAATGGCAGCATTTTAAATCGATTGGTAGAAAACTTTTCGGTCTTTCAAACTGTACGTAACTCGTTGCTGTTAAACATTGAAAATGAACATGACATGCGAAGAAAGAGAAGCACTAGCTCCACCAATTTGCAGTTTTTATATCGATTCATCAAATAAGTCCAGAAAAGCAACAGTAAAACACTTAATAAAACAAGATTTTTCAAAGCAAACTATTTTTTTACATATTGAATAAATATTCAAATATGGAATAACAAACTTGTTACCAAAAGAGAATCATTCATTAAGACTTTTGAATCAAAAATTAAACAAATTAGTAAAATTTGTTAATAGCAACATGTAATTTGAAAGAGAAGAGGACATTCAATTGAATTGTAAAATTTTTTTTTTCCAAAAGCTTGCTCATGAAAAAAGCACAAAGGATAAAATTTTGTACCATTACTGTTACATTGCATGTTATTCTAAATAAACATTATCGAAATTACAATGAAAATTGGACAATAAAATGCCCAGCAAAAGAAAGTTATTATTGAAATTCTACTGTAATATGGACAATGTCAAAATTCTGTTGGCGAAATTCTATAGAACCTTCTTCTCTAGCTATTTAAGGGTGGCTGGAGTGTGTGTGCGGGTGTGGCTGTGGCTGTTGGTGGCGATGTGGATGCGGAGTGTGGGTGTGCATGTGAAAGGTGAAGAGAATCGAAAGTGGCCCACACCCACACCCTGATCTTGAGGGTATGGGTGTGGAGAGTATCAAGATGTGTACCCATATCCATACACATGCCGACACCCACACTCCACACCCTAAATATGATTGAAGCCACTGTCAGCATATTTCAACCTGATACTGGTTTGTCGTACTATTATCACATCTATCTGACGAGGAACTCAAACACTGTGGATAATGATTATCATTTTATCTAAGTTTACTAATTATCTGGCTAGAAAAACACTGAACTTCCTCATGAATTCTATCAATCTTGCGACACCGATCTGAATTTTAGTTGAAAAATCGTTATGTACATGCATCAATAGCGAAAAAGAACGAAAAGATTCATTAAAGTCTATTACTGGCACATACAGTTTACTTTCAAAAAAGAGAAGAAAAATATTTCTTACTTTCGATTTTTCTTTCATAAAACGAAGTTAATGTTGAAAAATTTTTTTTTCTTTAGTAATGATGCTATAGCCAAGAGACCTAATTAAATCATTTGTGTAATTCGCATAATGAAAAAAACTTTTATTTAGATTACATGGAATTAAACATCATGTGCTGCAGATTTTAATCTTGGCTGAAAGGGTGTGGGTGTGGGTGTGGGTGGCGGGTGTGGGTGTGGGTGTGGGTGTGGGGTGGATGTGGGTGGGTGTGGGGTG